GTTGCTTTTAGTATTGTTTTCATCTCATTTACTTTGTAGTTGTTTTTTTCTTTTCCTCATGACACATGCATTTTTCCCTCCCCAGGAATAGAGACGTAGACCCAGCTTACTCATTTTGATATCATTAGCCAATGTCTTAGGGTCAACATTTAATCCAGAGGTTGCCATCTTTGTTTACTCCCTGAAATGGCAGCACTGGTCCTGTGAGCCTTTTATGGAGTGCTGTCTAGGACGGGAACAAAACAGTGATCCTCTGGAACTCCAGAACGCTGCTATTTGCTTTAATGATTGATTAGGATGCTTCAGGGAGGAGAGGGACAGGAGGTGGACTGTTGAAAACAATGGTTTCTCCGAGTGTTTGTTTTTATTTCCTTTGTCTACTTGGTCAGCTATCTTTGTGAAGTATTTTCTGTATGTTAGTCCCTAACATACAGTCGGCATGTAGTAAACATCCAGTCAGAATTTGATGGGTAAGTGGTGAGATTATTGAACTGTATACAGGCTGCCTCTCCTGCTCACCTAACTCCTGTAGTACGCAGGCATCCATTTTTGTAATCTCACAGATAGGATGGACCTTATCTAAAGTGGAAAGTGAAGAACTTGCAATAACATCGCAGCCTTGCATCTCGTTTAGCTCGTAGACAATTATGCAGTCCTACTTTGTTGGTTACATTTTTGCCCATTAAGTTTTAAAAGTATATTCAGAGTGTTATTTTTGCCTTTCTTTTTTAAAACTAAAAATTGCCTGAGGTACATTGAATTTTGTTTTGGAAGACCACAGTGTGTGTTTCCAATATCGCGGCTGTTCGTGCTTAGCCTTCCTGCCCTGTATGTGCCTTGACTGTGGTCTTCTGCACCCTGCATGGTAGTGAGGTGACTCATCGCTGTGGCTCATGCACGCTTTTCGTCTCACTCACTTATCCTTTGTTACAGTGAACAGTAAAGGACGTAGGCATCCAGAACAAACTGCTGTAGTACTTTGAAATTCTAGCCTATTGTCACTTAGGGAAGAATAGGGAACTCACTTTTCCAGTATTATAGGATATGACCACCACTTTGTTATGGCGGTGTTTACAGGGTCACACGTACAGGTCTGGTTCCTCAGTAAACTCCCATTATCTCCTGTTTAGACGTTAAATGGGATTGATTCACTGTTGGAAGCAGAATGTCTGTGAAAAAGTGGTGTACACTGTGGTATAGTGTAGGATTCATGGTAGGTTTGAATGTTTCATCTGTTCATATGTGGATATTTGAAATTTATTTTATTATTAATGCTCTGGGAAGAATACTTAATAGTTCTTCAAAGCAGAAAGGAACTAACAGTCAGTGAGTTTTGTGTCTGTTAGCACATGGCACAGTCTGACCTGCTAAGGCCTGGGAGCCTATGGTGGGTGACTGGTTAAGAAATCCTGGCTAGGAGATTTCTACTCAACCAAGCTTGGTCAATATCAGCACCTTTAGATTTCAGAATACTTCAGAGCAGGGTGATTTCTCTCTTTCTCAGTTCTCCCATCGAGCCCATATGTTAAAGTTGATTTACCATCTCATGGGAAGATTGGGATGCTCCATTACTGCATTTGACTGTGGATATTTGATTAGAAGATTAGAAAACATTTTTCTAGCTGTGAAATCATTTAGTTCTCTGATCTAAGAGAAGAGTAAATTTAATTAAAGAATCATGGAATCACGTCTGTTCTCCTGTTTTCATTTCATCTAAATTCTGAGTGAGGGTCAAAGCATCATCAGGTTCTGCAGAGTTAGCTTTAGAGATTTCTGGGATGCAGACTAGAAGGATGCTGGATTGTTTCCTGAGAAACAACAGTGGAGATGTGCTGTGATTTCTGCAGTCATCCACTTTCTCAGTCTCTGTATCTACAGGACAGACTAGCAAGTGAGCACTTAGAGAATCTCCCATCCTTAAGCTGAGTTTTAAGAGAGGAAACTGATGTTTAGGGAGTAGCAATACTTGAGTGTTGCTGTATACCTGGCTAGAATTTATAGTAAAAACATAGTTAAATAAAGCTAAGATACTGTTTTTCTTAAGTATTTTACTTTCCAGCATCTTGATGTCTTAAGAATTACCTTGGTATTTCCAGGCAAATGTATAATTAAACTAAGATTCTTGAAAAATGATTTCAGCCAATTTCTTGTTCCTTTGAAATACAGAGTTTATATGAGCCTCGTTTTTATGCTTTTACATATACAAGATGAATAAATTGGCATTTTTTTCAAGATAGGGTTTCTTTGTATATCTTTGGCTGTCCTGAAACTTGCTCTGTAGACCAAGCCGGCCTTGAACTCAAAGAGATCTGCCTGTCCCTGCTTCTTCAGAGCTGGGATTAAAGGCATGTGCCACCATACCTGGTTGGCAGATTTGCATTTTATATCAAAGACTTAGTAGTTGTCAGAAAGATTAACTTTGTAATGCTGTTGAGCACTGACCTATGCTTCCAGAGTTCAGCCATACCCCTTCTGTACCTAATGCTGTTTCCTATTAAGAAATTGCTTTAGAATAGGTGTTTGTGCTCAGGTATTCCTGTGCCTACTATTGCCTGAAACCAACCTGGGTCAGTGCCTTAAGTTAAAGCCCCTGTATTTCTTAAACAACTTCATTAGTTATACAAGATACATATGTTGGTGAACTGTCTCCTCTGGACTGTTTCTTGATAGATTTGAAACCCTTCTGACCAATGAATGTGTAGTGGGAAGTCTCGGGACGTATGTAGGGCTAAAGGAGATGACCTAGGACAATAGCAATAGGGTTTTCACAGGGTATTTGTTCATGGTGTGTGTGTATCTGCACACACACGCATATCCATCCATCCATTTATCCACAAGAATACACACACACACACTTTGGCACCAAGTTACCCAGCTGTTGTGCTCGTTGTATGATTTGGTTGGATGCTGAATGAGCGGTTTTGTTCCCTTATAGACTTAGAGGTGATTATGTCTACAGGGCCTGAACTTATCTTACCTGTGAACTGTTGGTAGAGCCCTTCTGTATGCCATTGAATTAAGTAGTTTTCTTTCTAGTCAACGGAAAAGAGCCCTAGTTTGAAACTTAGGCATGTAGTATGCTTTGTTTCAGAAGTACATTGTCTAGGTATGTGATTTACCCAGTAAATGTTTAAAAAGAAACAAAACCCCTGTGTTGTAGGGAGAAGGTGCCTTGTTTTTCCCAGCCACCCAACTAGCTTACACCTGAAATAACCACACAGAAACTGTATTAATTAAAACACTGCTTGGCCATTAGCTCTAGTTTCTTATTGGCTAACTCTTACATATTAGTTTAACCCATCTCCATTAATCTGTGTATTGCCACGTGGCAGTGGCTTACCGGAGATTCTAACCGGCATCCATCTCAGGTAGAGGATCCATGACTTCTCTCTGATTCTGCTTTCTTCCTCCCAGCATTCAGTTCTGTCTTCTCCACATACCTAAGTTCTACCCTGTCAGGCCCAAAGCAATTTCTTTATTCATTAACCAATGAAAGCAACACATGGGCAGAAGAACCTCCTACACCACCCCTGCTCTTTTATATTATGGTTAAAAAGTCTGAAAATAAGATTTGCCAAAGAACTGTTTTTCTTAAATAAGTTCTAGTCAGGCATAGTGGCACATGCCTGTAACCCCAGCTCTCAGAAAGAGGAAGCAGAAGGACTGTGAGTTCAAATCCAGCTGGGCTATATCATGAGACCCTGACTCAAAAAAAACAAAAAAGAAAAAGAGTCCTAGTGAGTACACAATGGCATGACCCAGTTGTTGATGAGAGTCCTAGTGAGTACAAAATGGCATGACCCAGTTGTTGATGAGAGACCTAGTGAGTACACAATGGCATGACCCAGTTGTTGATGAGAGAGCCATCAGAATGCAGTTGAAGTGCGTAGTGCAGAGTAGTGATCTGACCCTTTTTTTTCCTCATTATTTTATTTTATTTTTTTTTTTCAGTTAGACTTGTTTATTCAAGTATCCGAGAACACTCTTTCCACTTCCTCCCCTCCTCCCAATACCCTCCCGCTCCCCCCACTCCCTCTCCTCCTCCCTCACCATTCCCAAGAGCAGTCAGGGTTTCCTGCCCTGTGGGAAATCCAAGTTCCTCCCCCCTCCCTCCAGGTCCAGGAAGGTGAGCATCCAAACAGGCCAGGATCCCAAAAAGCCAGTCCATGCAGACGAAACAAGACCCAGTGCCATTGTCAATGGCTTCTCAGTCTTCATTTGGACCTCGGGGGCTCAGTCAGCCCCCATGTCAGCCACATTCAGAGAATACGGTTTGATCACATGCTCGTTCAGTCCCAGTCCAGCTGGCCTTGGTGAGCTCTCATTCGATCAGTCCCCTTGTATCAGTGGGTGAACGCACCCTTCGCGGTCCTGACTTCCAGTGCTCCATTGTGGGTCTCCGTCTCTATCTCCAAACATCGTCGGATGAAGGCCCCCTCTGATTTTGCTTTCCATGCTCACGATCTCCCTCCCTCTGCTTCTCATTTGGGCCTAGGGAATTAAGTCCAGTGTTCCAATATGTGTCTCTGTCTCTATCTCCATCCATCGCCATATGAAGGTTCTGTGGTGACATGCAAAATATTCATCAGTATGGTTATGGGCCAAGGCCAGTTCAGGCACCCTCTCCTCTGCTGCCCAGAGTACAATCTGGGGACCTCTCCTTGCTGACCCTTTTCTTGAATTTGTCAGCCAAAGCCTACTTGGTGGGGAGAGGATGAATGTTAATGATTTACTGTGTTTTCAGAGTCTGACTTTAGGCTCATAGAAGCAGCTGTAACATTCTAATTCAGAACTCACCAGCCACAACACTTGGACTCTAGTGATGGGACACTTGGTAAAAGCCTTGTTGAATAGCCCGGAAATATCTCTTAGAACAGTGGTGCATCTTCTAACCTGTCCTGCTGCTACAGCTGCTCATAGATCCTGTGAATTGATTGTGAAACACTGAGCTCAATGATAATATTTCTTGAGATACTTGTTTTCTGCTCTTTTCATTATAGCTTTTGAAGAACTTGAAAAAGCCTTGAGTACAGCCCAAAAAACTGAAGAAGCACAGAGAAAACTGAAGGCAGAAATGGACGAACAGATAAAGGCTGTTGAGAGAGCAAGCGAGGAAGAGCGCCTCCGTCTTCAGCATGAACTGGGTCGGGTGAGACAGGAGGCCGTCAGCATGATGAAAGTAAGGGTGACGTTGATTAGAGTGGTTCCAGTCCCATGTTGATTCCCCAGATCTTTAATTGTAAGAAAGAGTCCATTTGTATTTTACCCTTAAATGATGTTCAGATGCAGAGAAAGCACTTTGGTAGAGAGGCTCATGTTTAGACAGTTACCTGGGTCCCTCAAAGCCTTGCTTCCTCCCCAGCTCCAGCGCTCCTTACTGGCTCCCTGACCTGAGCCTCTTGAAGGCAGATTGCTTAGCTGCTTCCATGCATAGCCTCGGAACTCAGTCATTAAGGTTGCTTGTCTAATGTGTGAGTTTAAGGGAACTTGGGAGTATGTGACTAGGGTTGGGTATTTAAATGTTTTAAAGGGTAATTGCTGGTTTATTGGGTTTTATGCACTGGTGGAGATCAAACCTTTGATTTTTACATATGGGCAAATACTTATTTACCATTTTGCTATAGTCCCAGCCCTAAAAAGATAGTTATCTGTGTTTTCTGTACTCTTAAAAATATATAGATATTTTCAAAATGAATAATCTTTATAAAAAGTTGTCTTTTTAGAACTTAAACCATTGCATTTGTTTATGTGAATGAATAAGTCGCATATCATGTGTGGAGGTCAGTACAGCTTGAGAGAGTTGGTTCTTCTTCTACCATGTGGGTTCTGCAGACTGAATTCAAACACCTGCTCGTTGTAAGGAGGTTTGTTTGTTCCGGGCTGCTTGGCAGCTTAGACCTGAAATAATCACACAGAAACTGTATTATTTAAATCACTGCTTGGCCCATTAGCTCTAACTTATCAGCTAGCTCTTACATTTTAATTTAACCCATTTAATTTTAATCTGTTTATTCCTACGTGGCTGTGGCTTACTGGGTAAACTTCCGGCATCTATCTACGGGGCTACATGACTTCTCACTGACTCCACCTTCTTTCTCCTAGCATTCAGTTTAGTTTTCCCTGCCTACCTCTATTCCCTGAGCAGGCCCAAGACAGTTTCTTTATTAACCAGTGGTATTCACAGCATACAGAAGGGACTCCCACATCATCTGCTTTACCTGCTGAGCCATCTTTCAGGCCCGTAAAGTTGTGGGCTTTTGTTTTTTTCTTTTTCTTTTTTTATTGGCTTTTTGAGTTTGGATTTCTCTGTGTAGTTCTGGCTGTTCTGGAACTTGCTCTGTAGACCAGGCTGACCTCAAACTCACAGAGATCCACCTGCTTCTGCCTCCAAAGTGAGTGTTGGGATTAAAGACATGTGCCACCACCTCATGGCTTTTAGAATTGTCTTTTAAGAATAAGGAGCCCGAGTCTGAAGTGATCAGCAGGTGAGGGTGCTTGCTACAAACTATGGCGAGACAGTTTAGACTTTTACAGCAGGTATTAGAAGTTATTCCTCTCTCACAAAATTCTGTTGTTTTCTTCTGACATTTAGATACTTTCATTTGTTTATGCTCACATCTTTGTTCTGACTGAATTTATTTGATATGAGGAATAAGGTTGAAATCCAATTTAGTTTTTCCCAGGACACTGTTAGCAACCTCTAAACCATGTATTTAGTAATGTGCCCCCAGGGGACTGGCATCAGACTTCAAACTATGTATGTAGTAATGTGCCTTTTGCCCTCAGCATGCTGTTATATCTATTACATAATAAATGTAAGATATTGAGCACATGTCATTTTTCTCTGTACACTGCTACTCCACTGCTGTACTCACTGTGTCTGAGGAGCTGCCCTGCCTGGGAGCCTCCCCACCACCGTTTCCCTTGGTAATGGCGATGGGACATTGTTGGCTCTTCTAACATGTAAATTTTGTCTCCTGAGCAGCCTCCCTCATTCTTTTGGTGTTTGATTACATTAACTTTTTACATTTATATAGGGAAACTTGATAGTTTTATAAAGTTGAGTTTTCCTTTCCAAGAAAGAACAAAGTCAGTAACTCTTTAATAAATAACACCTTCCTCAAAAGCTTGGAGCAACCTGACCGTAGTGAAAGGTCTGTTCTGAGTGCAGGATGTCTCCTGCCTTCCTCCCTTGCCTTGCTCTGCCCTGACTAGCGGGCATTCACTGCAGATTATGGAAGTGGAGCTTCAGCCCCACAGGGTCCCGTGCAGCCCCCAGTCTTCACTGGGCTTTCCTCTTTCCTGTTCGCACTTTGGAGTGTGTTCTCTGTTTCCTCTTAACAAGTCACTATCGTAATTTGTTTCAGGAAAGGGCTACTTAGTTGTGGCGTTTCATGACTTTTTCTGGGTTTTTTTTTTTTTTGCACTTACCTTTTGGTTTCTTTTCAGAAGACCTCAGAAGAACAAATTGCTGAACTTCAGAAGTTGCATGCAGAGGAGCTGGCCAGCAAAGAGCAGGAACTGGCAAGGAAGCTCCAGACCCGAGAAAGGGAGCTGCATGAGCAGATGAAAATAGCCCTTGTAAGTGCTGTTTAGTCAGAGGAGAGCCTCAGAGCTGCCATCCACTCCAGTGAGGCGGAGATGTATGGGAGGAGGAGGCAAGCACAGAGGGCTTGTAGCCTAGCATTTATGGCGGAGTCCGTGTCTGACGTATCCAGCTTTCATCAGTCAGTTGCTTGATGCCTCTTTCCATCCTAGCCATAGGCAGTAATTAGGAGGGGGAAAGGAAAAGACAGTCAGTTGTCTCAGAGCTCAGCACACTGGCTGTACACAGGTTGTTCTGAACTGAAGCTTAAAGAGCAGAACTTGGAACTCATACGGTGTTTAGAAAGTAGAGATAAATAGAAAAAAAAATAACAAACTATCGAATGAACAGAATAATAGTCCAAAAGTCAAGATTCAGGTTTTCACTGAAAATGTGATTTGAAAATCTAAAATGAAAAGTAATTTTTTTTTAGTTGTGAAAACCTTTTATATGAGCCACTATAAAAAATGCCAATGCCAAAATGTAGTTTGTTTTGATATGAGATTCTCCAGAAAATATGTGAAATTATCATCCATCAAATAATGTGTGTGATTTTTAAACATGTTCAGTGCAGGATTGGAAACGCTGGCTGGAGTTATAGTTCCCCTGCCTCCCCCTCTTTCTGTGTCTTCTGGACTCTTGAGTGTCTGAGTTTCTCAGGATTTCCAGCAGCATTGATTCTTGATGAGATAACAAAATTTTTTAATCTCTGGAAAGGAAATAGGCATTTGGATTTAGAGTACACTTATGCAAGGCTAGGAAAATAATGTGGTTGAAATTGCACCCATGTGTGGTGGTGCACACCTTTAATTCCAGCACTCGAGAGGCAGAGGCAGGCGGATCTCTGAGCTCCAAGCCAGCCCAGTCTACACAGTGAGTTTCAGGACAGGTAGGACAACACAGAGAAACCGTCTCAAAAAAACCAAAACGGAAAAAAAATTTTTTTTTTTGCTCCAGTAAGGTAGCTTATAAGAACATTTAAAGTTTGTTAGAAGAACATAAAATAAAAATAGGGACATGGGAATTTTAAGGAACGAAGTGGGGCATAAATGAGGCTGGGGTGGTGCTAAAAGGGCCTGCTGTGGGCCTTGAACACTGGCGTGAGTACTGTCTTCTAGGAGCTGACACTCAGGTCTATTTCAAGTAGAGGAAGACAAACACATGTCCACACAGAGGGGTTAACCCCTTCGTAATTCAACAGATTTGAACATTTACTCTATGCAGTATACTCAAAAATACTGACATCAATGTTGTGGATAATTCTGTCTTATTAGTGTATTTTGTAGTATGAAATCATTTTGTAAACACGTGTGTCACCGTTGTATCTTGATGTGTAAATACTGTGTCAATATTTAACTCTTTAAGCAGCAGTATAAATAAGCATACTTAAAGTTGGAATGCAATCAAGAAATTACAGTTTACTTTGTTAATTTAATGTTAAATGTGCTCTTAACCTTTGCTGAGGATGTCTTGTACTAAGAAGAATGGAAGATTTTCAGAGCGGGTACCCTGGAAAGCCTCAGGACCTGGGTTGTTGCTCACCTCACAGAGCTGGGTGCAGAACAAGTGGAAAACATGATTCTGTTGAAGTGCTTTGGGACTGCTGAGATTTACGTGGGATTGAGATGTATTAATTGTTTTTGGCACAGGAAAAGAGTCGATCAGAATATTTGAAGCTTACCCAAGAAAAAGAGCAGCAAGAATCATTGGCTCTAGAAGAGTTAGAGCTGCAGAAAAAAGCAATACTTTCAGAGAGTGAAAATAAACTCCAGGAACTTGGGCGGGAAGCAGAGGCTTACCGAACTGTAAGTTCATGTGCTGTGTGGGCTCCAGAGCTGGGGACAGTGGTGTCCATGGGGACTGTCCCTGGAGCTGGGGAAGCAGGTGTCTATGGGGCTGTCCTCTCCAGGCAGCGTCAGGCTCTGATAAGCTGCTGGCTCGTGGATTGGGTGTTTTTGCACATGCCTTTATCTTTAGTGAGAAGTGTTCATGGGTGTACTTGTTGACTTTGAACTCTTTTTGCCACATTGTCCTTGGTTTGCTCCAAGCTCCCCGTGTTTCTGGCAGGCCTTCACTCTGCCTTGTAGCACACAGACTCTGCAATGTCTCCACTCTACTGCTTATCGACTGGATCTCTAGGGAGTGGCCTTGTGTTGTAGGCAGCATGTGAGCTGACACCTCCCTGCTCGTCCAGCTTCATCAGACACTGTGCCCTATGTATAACCCATGCTCTGCTTTTGTCATAGTTTACTTACCCTAATGCCTTACTTTCACACTTAAAATTACCCATTTTTTATATTAAATATGATGTTGGGATGAAGTATTTGTTTCTATGTCTCAGTGTGCATAGTGTTAAGGCTTTCTGGCCCTGTTGCCTATAGTAAGATTGTGCTCTCTTTAAACAGTCACGCTCTGCACTTTGTCAATCTCTGTGCTCTTCCTTTACCCACTCGCTGCCTTTGCGTGCACGCACCTCACTTTCTTTGCCAGCTTCCGAGAGATTGGACTTTTCCAGCTCTGACATTCAAATGAAGGTTAATATTCTGTGAGGTGACAGCAACATTTGGTAAAATATGTTTAAGAAACTTTTTAAAAAACTAGCCATGCCAGGCTAATGAGTTGGCTGAGGGCACAGTGCTTGCTGCACAGCCTGGCAGTCTGAGTCTGATTCTGAACTCACAGTGGAGGAAGAGAACCAAAATCACAGCTGCTGCCTGCCCTCCTCTCTGTCTCTCTGTCTCTCTTACTCACACACACACACACACACACACACACACACACACAAATAATAAAAATTTTTAAAAGTTTTTAAGTATATGCCTTTTGGGATAGAAAATGAGATACTTTTTTCTCCAAAATTAAATTATGAAAGCAATGAAATACTATTGTAACGTAAAAGCTTGGAGTGTGGAGGACCATCTTCCTACTAAACTCACTGCCATTATTATTTGTTTTGTGATTTAATTTCTTTTTGATTTTCCCATTACAACAGTTTTTGAAAATAGAGATAATTGAAATGCTTACCCGAGTAAATAGAACAAATACAGAACTGAGTTTGTGCTCAAGATTCCGTTAGTGACTGAGAACAGCATAGTGTTTCCTTGTCTTCTGTTTGGTCTGGTACGTGAAGTGTTCAAATTCCAGCCTCTGTGTAGGCCCACACAATCTGTGTGTCGTTGCCGATAAACAGCTATGGGCATTAGTAAAAATACATTCGTTTTCATTGACAGAGAATTCTTGAATTGGAAACCTCTTTGGAAAAAAGCTTACAAGAAAGCAAAACCCAATCAGAGCGTTTAGCTGTCCATCTGGAAGCCGAGAAGAATAAACACAATGAAGAACTCACAGCCATGGCCGAGAAGCACAGGACAGAGCTGGAGTGCTTCCAACAGCAGCAGACCAGCCTGTGGACCAAGAGACTCCAGGACCTCACGCAGCAGCAGCAGGCTACAGTGGAGGAGCTCAGAGAGAAGTACGAACAAGAAAAAGATGCCTTATTAAAGGAGAAGGAGAGTCTTTTTCAGGCCCACATACAAGACATGAATGAAAAGACCTTGGAGAAACTGGACGTGAAGCAGACAGAACTGGAATCCCTGTCTTCTGAGCTGTCGGAAGCACTGAAAGCCCGTGAGCGGCTCACAGAGGAGCTTTCTGTCCTGAGGTGTGATGCAGACAAAATGAAGCAGGCCTTAGAGGCTGAGTTGGAGGAGCAGAGACGTTACCACCAGCGTGAGGTTGACAGCATCAGTAAGGAACAAGAAATAACTGTGCAGAGGACTGAGAAGGCCCTAAAAGATGAAGTCAACCAGCTGGGGCTTCTCCTGAAGGAGAGAGACGAGCACCTGAAAGAGCAGCAGGCTCGGATAGAGGATCTCGAAGCTCGTCTTGAAAAGTCTGCCGGGGAGCTCCAGCAGGCCTTGGCTAAGCTGGAGCATCTCCATTCACAGCAGAGCGCTACACACGAGCAGACGGGCGCGTACGAGGAGCAGCTGGCCCAAATGCAGCAGAAGGTGCTGGGTCTGGAAACAGAGAAGAACCTTCTTACCCAGCAGGTAGCTGAAATAGAAACACAGAAAGAGCACGTGTGTGTGGAATTAGACACTTGGAGAGCGCAGGTGCAGCAGCTTGAGGACCAGAAGCGTGAGCTGGAGGAGAGAGGCAGGTCGTTAGCCCAGCTGCACGAGTCACACCTCAAGGACAGTAACATGGAGAAGGAGCAGACAAGGCAAATCCTGTTGGAAAAGGAAAATGTCATTTTACAAATGAGAGAAGAACAGACCAAAGAAATTGAGGTCCTCAAACAGAAATTGTCTTCTAAAGAAGAGAGTATTAGTGTTTTGCGTGAGGAATATGAAACCAAATTTAAAAACCAGGAAAAAAGGATGGAAAAAATTAAGCAGAAAGCAAAAGAAATGCAAGAAACAAAGAAAAAGTTGTTGGACCAGGAAGCCAAACTTCAAAAAGAGCTTGAAAATAGCGCCCTAGAGCTCGGTCAGAAAGAGAGGCAGTTCAGTGCCCAGATCCTGGAGATGGCACAGGCCAACTCAGCTGGGATCAGTGACGCCGTGTCAAGACTGGAGGCCGACCACAGGCAGCGGCTAGAGAGTCTGACGGGCGCGCACCAGCGGGAGCTTGATGACGTCACAGAGTCCTGGGAGAGGAGACTCAGTCAGCAAGCTGAGGAACTGCGGGACGAGCATGAGAGCCGGATAGAGGAGAAGGAACGGGAGCTGGCAGAGCTGAAGCAGAAGCTCCTCACAGTCGCATCTGAAAAAGAGGAGGTGAACAAGGAAGTGCTGGGGCTGAAGGAGGCGGTGAGCAGGCGGGAGGCGGCGCTAGCCGACCTGCAGGAGCACTTCCAGCAGAAGGCTGCTCAGGTCACCTCACTCTCACAGAACCAATCTCAGCTGAAGTCACAGGTCGAAAAGCTGGAAGTCGATTTGGGTCGTTGTCTGACTGAGAAGGTTTCTCTTCAAGAGGAGCTAACTGAGCTGAAGATGCTGACAGAGAAGGGGAAGCTCAGGGTTTCTGAGCTCACAGGCAAGGTGCAGGCTGCGGAGGAGGAGCTCCGAAGCTGCAGGGCTTTACAGGAAAGCAGTAGGAAGAGCCTAGAGGACAAAAGCTTGACCCTCAAAACCCTGCTCGGAGAACTAGCATCTCAGCTAGACAGTCGCTGTGAGCAAACCAAAGCTTTGTTAGAAGCTAAAACAAATGAATTACTCAGTGTCAGCGGCGACAAAACGGACACCATTCTCTCCAGACTTTCCCGCTGTCAGCAGCACACGGCCACAGTTAGGGAGACTCTGCTCATGAAGATGGGCCAAGTTTCTGAATTAGAAGCACAACTTACACAGTTGAGAGACGAGCAGCACACACTAAAGAGCTCTTTCCAACAGGCTACCCATCAGCTGGAAGAAAAAGAGAATCAGATTAAAGCCATGAAGGCTGATATCGAAGGTCTCATCACAGAAAAGGAAGCCTTACAGAAGGAAGGAGGGCAGCAGCAGCAGGCAGCCTGCGAAAAGGAGTCGTGCATCACACGGCTGAAGAAAGAGTTATCGGAGAACATCAATGCAGTCACACTGCTGAGAGGAGAGCTTTCGGAGAAGACGGCTGAGATCGACAGCCTTCGCAAGCAGCTGAGTGAGGTCCGTGCTCAGCTGGAGAACAGCGTCAGCCTAAGTGACAAAGCAGCAGCCATTTCCTCACTGAGCAAGCAGCATGAGGAGCGACAGATGGAACTGCAAGGTCAAGTGCAAGACCTGTCTTTGAAAGTCGATGCTCTGAGTAAAGAGAAAACGGCTGCTCTTGAGCAGGTCGCTCATTGGTCCAACAAGTTCTCAGAGTGGAAGAAAAAAGCCCAGCCCAGATTTGCACAGTACCAGAGCACTATTAAAGACCTACAGACACAGCTGGACATAAAAGCCAAAGAAGCCAGTGAAAAGGATGAGCAGATACATTTACTGAAGGAAGACCTTGATCAGCAGAGTAAAAGATTTGAATGTTTAAAGGGTGAGATGGAAGACAGGAAGAGCAAGATGGAGAAGAAGGAGTGTGACTTAGAGACTGAATTGAAGGTGCAGACAGCAAGGGTTGCTGAGTTAGAGGACTCTCTTACTCAGAGGAAAAAAGAAATTGAGTCCCTAAATGAAACACTTAGAAATTACAACCAACAGAAGGACACTGAGCAGAATGAACTGGTCCAGAAACTTCAACACTTTGAAGAGATGGGAGAGGAGAAGGACAACAAGGTCAGGGAGGCTGAGGAAAAGGTCCTGAGACTAGAAAAGCAAGTGTCCTCCCTAGAAGCTGAGCTTGGAATTATGAAGAAAGAGCTAGAACACGTGACTTGCAGTGTGAAAACCAGAGATGGGGAGCTGAAGGCTCTGGAAGACAAGCTGGAGCTAGAAAGTGCTGCCAAAGTGGAGCTGAAGAGGAAGGCGGAGCAGAAGATCGCTGCCATCAGGAAGCAGTTAGTGTCTCAGATGGAAGAGAAGAGACAGCAGTATGAGAAAGATGCAGAAAGCCAGTTGAGCGAGCTGAATGCTAAGTTACAAGACAGAGAAAAGCAAATTCACATTCTGGAAGAAAAACTTAAAAACCTAGAAAGTTCTTCCCAATCAGAGATGCCGGTCGTGTCCAGATCCGTACAAAGTGTGGCAGCATCTTCCGAACAAGACACAGTAGATTCCCAAGGCTGCACACACAAGGCGTGCGAGGAAAGGATCTGCACACTACAAAGAAGATTAGCTGAAAGGGAGAAGTTGCTGCACAGGCTGGAGCAGGGAGAGGGTGAGTCGGTGTTGTCTCCGTCTGGAATGCAGCTCTCCATGACCTTAGACCACACCCGAGCCAAACAACCCAACCATCAGATTTCTGTAGGATGTCTTCAAAAAGAACTTGAAGAAAAGAAGATGAACTGTTCCTTCATTGAGTCCCAGCCCACGGAAGAAGAGATGGGTAAAAACAATCCAGGGAAGCAGAACTGGGCAAGTGTGGTTGAGAGTGTTCAGAAAACCCTCCAGGAAAAGGAGCTGACCTGCCAGACCCTGGAGCAGAAGATAAAAGAGCTGGAGGCAGACTTAGTAAGAGAGAGGGACTCACACAGACTTGAAATGGACAAGTTGGCCTTAAGATACGAGAACTCGCAAGCCTCACAGCAAGAAATGGATGGGGAAAATAAACCTGTCGAAATTTTAAAAAATAGTTCTGAGGAAAATTCCAAGTCACATGTGATCCAACCGAAATTGGGGAATAACATGGACACCCAGCACAATGACCTGGAGTTGAAGTTAGCAGGGGCGGAGCGGGAGAAGCAGAAGCTGAGCAGGGAGGTGGCTAGACTGCAGAAAGATCTTCGGGTGCTGAGGAAGGAGCATCAGCAGGAGCTGGACATCCTGAAGAAAGAGTGTGTGCAGGAAGCGGAGGACAAACTCAAGTAAGTGTTGTTCCCACCTTGTGGGCATGAGTGTGTGTGTAGTGTGTAATGCAGACACTGACCTGCCCAAAGTGGTACATAAATCCAGTAAGTTAGATACTGATGAGAAATGAAGACCTGGGTCAGCAGGCAGTGTTAGTCCATGTTCATTTAGGGGACATGCCTTTTCATGCAGGTAAGATCTTGCCAGCTGCTGGCCGCATGTTTTGAGTAATGAGCTCATTGCTGGTTGTCTTTAGTAGTAGCCCTATGTCTGTCCCATGCATGTGTAATGGAGAAGTTTAAAGTGGGAAGAACTGGTCTCCAGGCCCCAGTGTTAGTTGCCGAAGGTAGTTGTGATTTCTGTATCTCTAGTTTTCTCCACCTGGACACACGCACAACTCACACTGCCTCCGAAACAGCGAGAGCACATTGTGCAAACTCTTCTGAAACCTCTTTGTCACGTGCTCTGTGGAGGCAGCCGTCATTGCTGTCCACTCTTGTTCCTCAGACAGGAGCAAGAGGATCTTGAGTTGAAGCACACTTCCATACTGAAGCAGCTGATGAGGGAGTTTAACACCCAGCTGGCCCAGAAGGAGCAGGAACTAGAGAGGACCATCCAGGAGACCATCCGTGAGTACAGCTTTAAACCCAAGTCTGCAGCCGAAGCCTGTTCCCTGTTTGCCCTTGTGCCAGGTGCTGTGTGCCATTATCTAGAGGGGAAATGAGAAATGGTCGTTCCTTATCTAAGAAAGTGCTCTCCCAGGGTCTCTAGAAGCTTCTTCAATCTGCCTCGTTCCTTGCCTTGTCTGTTCTGCTGAATTTCATGAACATCAGTTTGAAATGAGAATTCCTATTACTGTTGGCATATAGATAGTCCCAACCATGTTTTCTTATGTGTGTCCCTCATCCTTAATTAGACAAGGCCCAAGAGGTGGAAGCTGAACTTCTAGAGACCCACCAAGAAGAGACTCAGCAGTTGCATAGAAAGATCGCGGAGAAAGACGATGACCTGAAGAGGACAGCCAGGACGTACGAGGAGATCCTTGACGTACTGTATCTTCATTCTCTTCTGAAGTGCTCTGTGTTTTATTCCTGTGACAGAAACTAGACTAGAGTGAGGCTTTGTGCTTGGGTGAGGTCTGGGAACTAGAGCAGGCCATTGTCTAAGGCTGCTCAACCGGCTGGAGTCTTCCCAGGAAGACCAGCCAACCTCGTTCCTTCTCTCATTTTCAGCATGTGGATGGTCCACGTTGGCGTGGGGAAAGGGGGCTCCTCAGCAAGGGTGTTACCACTAGTGGGCGGCATCTCACCGTACTCCCTCTAGTGGTGCTGCGCTAGCAGAGTGGAACAAACCATAAATGCCGGTGAGAACTTTGACCCCCAACAATGCTTTCAGATATAAAATAATGTCAGTTGTTCTCTGTTGGCTTATTATTCTCTGTAAGGCTACTCCAAGCCTTACTTTATCATACACCAAGAAGCATTTGTTGTTCCAGAAGAGCCATAACCTCAGCTGACTCTGTCAGCAGTACATTTGTGAGCTAGGAACGGATTGTCATAATCCATTATTTTAAATGTAATTGAGTTGAGTGAAATTATGGAATATGGAATGCCATCTTTGTGTAATTTGTTAGCTGTAAGTCTCACTAGGAAACTTTAAAAATAATTGTACATTTTCTTGTACTTTCAGAGTGAATTTATGCCAGTGTACATATATTTCAAGGATACAGCCAGGGGTTTGGAGATGGGTCAGTAGCTAAGAGCTCTACTGCTCTTGCAGAGGATCCAGGTTCTATTCCTAGCACCTACGTGGTGGTTCACAGCTAACTGTACTTCTAGTTCCGTAGGATCCAGTGCCCTCTTCTTTCCTCTGTGGCACTACACATTCATTGTACACATAAATTCATAGGCACTTGCATGCACATGGTATATGTAATCTCATGTAGGCACATACACATAAATAATAAATGCATTTTTAAAAATCTGTTGAGGTGTTGGTTGTACATGCCTGTAGTCCTAGCACTTGAGAACCTGAGTTAGGCCAGTCTGGGCTATATAACAAGTTCAAGGCCAGCTTGGGCTATATGAGACCTTGTCTCAAAATAAATAAATCCGGTCACTTCTTGACTCCTTATTGAATCTGACCATGCAGTGTACCTAGTAACTTAAGGTACCGTCTAGTTTATCCTCTAGTATTTGTTACTGTGCTTTTGTTTTGTTTTTATACAGAAGGGAAGGCAACCGTAGTGCAGTTATTGTTTGAGTTCTAGAGCAGAGAGTCATCATTCCGTCACCTATTTCATAAACAAAGATGTCTTCCCAAGGAAGGAACCTTAGCAGGGTAATGGCTGCTGATTGTGATAGTCAAGCCTGGGAGCTCCAGGGAGGGGATGAGCTCTGTTTAGTTTTGTCATCCTTCTCTGTATGTGGACGTATGGGTCATTACTGTCTGCCTTTTGTTGTTTGTTTGTTTGTTTTGGGACCACCAGCCCCCAAATAGTTACATGGAAACTGATTATTAATTATGAAAGCTTGGCTTTTAGCTTAGGCTTGTTCCCAATCCACTCTAGTTCTATTAATCTGTGTTCTGCTATGTGGTTCTTTATTTTTCCTCCATTCCATAGGTCCATCTCCTCCTGAGTTTCTCTCTCTGCCCAGAAGTCCCACCTAACCTCTCCTGCTTAGCTATTGGACATTCAGCTTTTCATTAAACCAATCATAGTGACTCATCTTCACACAGTGTAAACAAATATCCTACGACAGGTCATCAGAGTTCACCATGACGAACCTCCGTGGGTCCAGGGCTGAGGGACAGAAGACAGGGAGCTGTAGCACTCTTGCAACTGTGTAAAGGGAACTGGGGACAGACCCCCAAGCTGCAGGTGTGGGACAGCTGGCTCTGCCTTTACACATCTAATGCAAACCACACGACAGCCTCGTTTAATCATTGAACATGTTCTAGTAGCTACATTTTTAGAAAGGGGGCTTTAATAGTATGTGTCAGCCGGCTCAACCCAGTCACAGTGTGAGTTCTTCCCTGTTAAGTCAGCGTATGAGCAGGCTCCGGGCTTTGAGGACTCTCCTCTCCTCCTCTCTCCCTCCCCTCTCCCTTCTGGAAAGTTCGTCTCACATTGACCGTACAGTGCTGTGCTTTCTCACGTATTCTTCTGTGGTGTGTTAGAGAAAACTTAAGCACAAAGCATTTCAGTTTTCCTTCCCAATCTTTGATAGCATTTCTTGTTGTTGGTTTGGTTTGGTTTGGTTTTTTGAGACAGGCTCCCATGTAGCCCAGGCTGTCCTGAACTTACTGTATAGCTGAAAATGACTTTGAACTTTTTATCTTCCAGCTTCTACCTTCCAAGTGCCAGGGTTGATCGTGCTTTAGATAGTGTTCCTATCTTTCACATCTGAAGACCTGAGAAACTTGTTTTTGAATCATGTGTCCCTAAGCCCTTCACATAAGCGCATCTCTCCAGTTAGGGTAAGAGATCTGCTTATATCCCCAGCATGGTATCCAGCATACGCTGGACTCTCAAGATGTGCTTTGTCATTGAGTCATAGTGTAGTAAGGAGGCCGTTAGTTTGTTCCTGGCTGCTTGGTAGCTCAGATCTGAACTAACCACACAGACACTGTGTTGATTAAATCACTGCTTGACTTAACTCTAGCTTCTTATTGGCTAACTCTTACATATTAATTTAACCCATTTCTATTAATCTGTGTATCACCACGTGACTGTGGCTTACCAGCTAAAGTTCTGTCTGGCCCCACTAATGTTCTGTCTGGTTCTGGTGGGGGGTACATGGCTTCTTGATTCAAGACTGCTGCCTGAAATGATTGAGACTCACAGGATACTCCAGTCATGACTTGATTATAACTCTAAATTTTCTTTAGGTCTCCATAAGATTATCAGTGCCCCCAACCAGCAGGAAGTAGCCTGAAATACTACGCCCACATTCCCAACAAATGGACTATGGGTATTTTCCTTTGTTTAAAAAAAAAAAAAAAGAGGGAAATGATGCGGGAGAATTGTCTGTATTTTGTCAATCATATTTTAATAAAACGCTGATTGGCCAGACAGGCAGTATAGGCGGGAGATCCAGACAGGAAGTAGAGGTGGAGCAAAGAGACTGGGAGTATTCTGGAAAGCAGGAAGCTCCCTCTCCACTCCTGCGCAGACCACCAAAGAGGCAGCATGTAACTTGCCCAGCTGAGAAAGGTACGGAGCTATGTGGCTAATGTAGATAAGGATAATGGGGTAGCATAAGTTATAAGAGCTAATAAGAAGCCTGACCTAATGGGCCAATCAGTTTATAACCTAATGTAGACTATGTGATTTTCCTTGGGACTTGCGGCTGTGGGGTACTGGGCGGGACGGAAACCCCAACAAGCCGGCCCTCATGTTGCAGCTTCTCCCTGACTAGCTCTGTTTTTTTGCCCTATCACAGGCCAAGACAGTTTCTTTATTCATTAACCAATGAGTAAAACCAAAAGCAACACATAGACAGAAGGACCTCCCACAGCAGTCATAGTTTTTGTTCCTCTTTCCTCTGCACCGCTGCTACTACTGTATGCTGCTGTCTCATCTGGTCCAGTCTGCTGCTTGAACTGGACAGCTGGTCTCCTTGCTACTGGGCTGCTGTCCTCTCCCAGCGTATCTGCTCCTGTCAGGATTATCTTCTGTGTGAGGACCGTGAAGGTGCCCAGTGCTGCTCCAGTCTCCCAGGGGACTCGGGTTGAACTTTCTTCACTCATTTTACCTCTGCTCATGTTTTGAGTCCTCAGACTTCATGCGTCGTTGTTACCACCTCTGTTGTGCTTGTGTGTAGGTGGGTGTGCTGGTTTGAGTGAGAATGGTCTCTATAGGCTCCTATTTGAATGTCTAACCCCTAGTTCATGGATTAGGAGGTATGGCTTTGTTGGACAAGGTGGGTCACTGGGAGTGGGCCTTGAGGTTTTAAAAGCTCATGCCAGACACAGTCACTAGATCTGTGCTGCTGCCTGATGTGTCTCAGCTATTGTTTGAGTGCCGTGTGTGTTGCCATGCTTCTGCCATGATGATAATGGACTAACCCTCAGAAACTGTAAGCAAAGCCCCGGTTAAATGCTCCTAAGAGTTGCTGGAGTCTGGTGACTTATTCACAACTATAGAATAGCCCCTCAGGCAGTGGAGATGCCAAGTCAGTTGTCTTCCTCAGCTGCTTCCGTCTTGCTTTCCCTGGCATGGCCACCCACTGAACCTGGAGCTCCCGTGACGGATTGACCCCAGGGTCTTCCCACTAGCACTGGAGGTATAGACTTGTGCCATCAAACCTGGCCTTTTACATGGGTGTTGGGAGTCTGACCCTGAGTCTTGACGATTGTGTGGCAGGTATTTACCCACTGAGTTGGGTCCCCAACCTCTCTGTGCTGTGTCTTTAAAAGTTTGAAATTTAATTTTTATTTAGAAAAACTTGAATCAAATGTATTCACATGTATTTTTTGAGAATCGTGTACAGTGAAATCACTTTCATTCCATTTGTTTTTAAAGAATAGTCAGGAAAGTTATAGTTCTCCATTCCTCTTTCTTCCTCCTCTTTCTTCCTCTTCTTCCTCCCTCCCTCCCTTCCTTCCTTTATGAACTAGGAATTTACGCAGGACCTAGTGCCTTGCTGGAAGCCCCCTACCACTGAGTTGTCCAGTCCAAATCCAGACTATTTTCTTAAGTCAGAGATAATTCATTAGGGATTCTTTTCTAATTCTTAAAAGACTTGCCTTAGCTTAGTAGTTTGCAGCTATCAAAGAATGTGTCAGACATAGCTGACTGTCACAGTGTGCCTGAGGAAGTAGCTGTGGAAACTCAGGCACATTGACTTGGGTAAGCATAGGGATGTGCAATGGTAGACTCAAGACAGCCATGACCAAGGACAGTAGTAGCCCAGTTCCAGGTTGACGGTGTTGGAGGTGGGGCTCAGTGAGGAGACATCTGAGCATTGGCCAACATAGAACAAAGTCGTGCGGTTTTGTTTCCCATTAGCCTTCTTCATGAGAAGTGATATTTAAAATCAGGCTTTCTACATTGTCTGTGCCTAACCATCCGTCTGTTGTTGAGAATGGTGTTCCTCATGTTTCTGACAGTTGGTGTCTGTTAAATGACACCTGTTGGTGCTTGTTTTCCTGTTTGTCTCACTCAGCACACATGGATCTTCATTACTCAATTCAGATTGATATTCCAGCTCTAAATGTTCTTTAGCACAAAGCTCTTGCCGGATTGATGACCGAGGAGAGCTGAGTGTCCTTGGGACAGAACAGAGGTGACTTGTGTGTCAGGATTTCTGAGTAGTACCATGGGGACAAAAATTGCCTAAAAGATTTTTTTTTTCTAGTTCAGCCTTTTCTATTTTTGCTTTTGTTTTTTGTTTTTGCACTGTTTTGGGGGAAATGAAGATTGCACTGGTCACCACCATGTTAGACTGGTCGTATTGTTACTTAACTTTCAACTCCACATGGAGATGGCTGAAATGTGTGAGAAATGTGTGAGCTAGTAGACAAGGCTCAGACCAACTCCTGAGTTACACAGCTGCTCCATAGCTGGTGAAGAAAAGGAAACCAAAGCATTCATAGCTTCTTGTGATCAGTTGTGTGTAAAAATACTACTTTAGGCTGGGCGGTGATGGCGCACGCCTTTAATCCCAGTACTTGGAAGGTAGAGGCAGGCGGATCTCTGTGAGTTCGAGGCCAGCCTGGTCTATAAGAGCTAGTTCCAGGACAGGCTCCAAAGCTACAGAGAAACCCTTTCTCAAAAAACAAAAAACAAAAACAAAAACAAAAAACAAAACAAAACAAAAAAATCCTACTTTATTTCCTGAATGTCTTTAGGCACCCACTGTAGAAAGTACCCCAACCTTAGAGCACGAGATCTGTGACCCTGTTAGACCTGATGAGCCCAGGGTGAGAGGATGGCAGCGTCTTGATGACCTCGGGTGATGGACGGGCATGTAGGTGGCGCCATGGCAGCCCAGGACGAGCGAGCAGCACTGCAGCGGAGTTCACTAGGGTCGGAAAGGTGGCTCGGAGAGTGTTCTACACCGCTCCCTCTCTGCATGGTTGTAATGTTATTACCACGTTGCTATTTCCATCCTAAAGGCTCGTGAAGAAGAAATGACTGCAAAAGTAAATGACCTCCAGACTCAACTTGAGGAACTGCAGAAGAAGTATGAGCACAGGCTGGATCCAGAGAACAGCGTGGAGGACAATGTGAGAGAACTTTGATGTTCTTCTCGTGGTTCTTGAAAACATCATCATTTCCCCAATTTGTGGCATATATTAGTCTCATTTAATCCCGAGGAACCCTTTAAGGCCTCTTGCTTTATTTTTTTCAGTAAATACAACTAAAACCCAAAGAGGTTAACAGAATGTTCAGACCTCATGATGTGTTGTGAAAAAAAAATTGAAATGTATACCCTGGCAATGCTGACGCGTGCATGGGCAGCCCGTATATGGCGGTTCTCTTGAAGTTGTCCATGGTCTAAGCTGATGAAGATGACTGACCAGGTCTCTTCCTCAGATAAGTGTAGTGGAATTTAAATCCAGGCTTCCCACTCAAAGCCTGGACTTCCTGTTTGCCAGGGCGTTCTGGTCTTCCACAGACCATGTAGCAGAGCAGACTGAGCCGTACACCCTTGGGCCAGTCCAGAAACCGTCCACAGCAAATGTGACATCCTGAGATGGCTTCTTAAAAATGTCTGCTTTTTACTTTTTTCTTTTACTGTTTATTCTTTGACAATTATATACATGCATATATTTTTATCATACTCACCCCCCCATCCTCTTAACTCTTCCTGCTCCCACGAGCCCTCCCTTTTCCTCCTAACAAGTCCCCCTCCCACTTCATGTGATTTTGTTTTGTGACCCTTGATTTTAACCTGGGCTATTGCGTGTGTGTGCATGTGACGCTGGCCATTGAAGTGTGGGTAACCTAGCAATGGTTGCACCACTCAAGTTGTGAGTGATTCCCCGCCCCCAGCAGCCTTCTTTGGGCATATTTAATCTGCACTCTACCTTATAGCGTATCCTGGCTTGTAGTGCACAAACATGATGGCTTTTCAGTCATTCTGTGCTGGTTCTGCTTTCCTTGGCTACTGAACCAGATTCAAACACAGTGAGATGACTGGCGTGATAGAGCTGGCAAACACTGTCTGTGACTCCACCCTTGAGAAGATTTTGTACAGATTATCAGTCACAGTTACCGCAGTCTCCTTACTGGAAGGCAGAGATGAAGCCTCACTCCTTATAGATAGAGTTGTATGAACATTGAGCAAGCAGAAAGGTCTTTCCTGTAAGGAAGCCATTCCTGTAGTTCTGTTTGTTTGTTTAGTGTGTGATCGTGGCTGTGGGCATCCTTGTTATTAAATATTACTTCCATGAAAACACATGTATTTTACTAATGAACTTCCCCTAGTGTTAGAGTATTAGTGTTGCATCCGGACTACCATAGAGTGTTGATGCATTGTGAAATTGATATTAATGCTGAGTCCTTACCTTGTTGTAAAAGAAAGCAGAAAATAATAACTATAAACAGATTTGTTCTTTTGTAGTCTCCTAATTCTCCTTGAGTATGCTTTAGTGCTTCTCAATAGTTTGATTTTGTTTTTTTACTTGAGATAGTAACCCTGGCATGTTTCCAAGGCTAGTTTGAATCTTCTATTTAAATAGTTTTCTTGTCTCAGCCTCCCAAACAGTCAGCATCACACTAATGCAGTATTCCTTCTGCATTCTAGATGGTCCTCAGTCACATGGACCTGTGCTGAGCCCCATGAGAAACAGTTTGTAATCAGAGCCCAGCATGAGCATTGGGGGTTGTGCTTAGAAATGCACTGAAGGATTTTAAAAGATCTGACCGTTTACTCACAGAGTTCCCCGAGTGACACACGACCATATTCTCATGTCCAGTAACCCTGGGGATAAAGAATCCTCTGTTGCTGGAGCTTCACTTCCCAACCTTACAGTCCTCTCTGCCTATGGCTGTTTGTGTGTGACAGTATGTCACAAAAATAGAAGAGGTTCAGAAATAGAGATTTGAAATTGCTTTATTTTAGACCTGCTCACTCTCTTACGATGGGAAAGTTGGCTTCGTACTTTGTTGTCATTTCATAGTGCTGTTTGTTTTGTTGTTTCCTCTCCTTGTCAGTTTTATTGTTCACATTCTTTTTTTGTTTGTTTTGTTTTTCTTTTCCATCTCCAGGTAACAATTATGGAGCTACAGGTAAGATTAGTTCTTCATTGAAGTTTACTGAAGCTAGTACATTTTAGAAACATATCCCCCAGCCCTAACCATTTCTTTTCTTTTCTTTTTTTTTTTTTTTTAACAAGTTAGAACATAAAGACACTTTCTACAAAGAATGTTTTTTGCAAGTACTACAGAAACATGTCCAGGAGTCAATGGGACACACTCATTTCAGTCTGGCTTTTGTTCTTTCAGGCACAGCTAGCTCAGAAGACCACTCTGATCAGCGATTCCAAGTTAAAGGAGCAGGAGCTGAGAGAGCAGGTACTGGCCAGTGCAGTGTCTGTTGGTGTGTGCTTGGGTCTTGGCCAGTAACAAAATAATTGAGTTAATGATTTAATAGTTGCTTTGAAATTCTTTCAGTCTTTTTTGTTTTGTTTTGAGACAGGATTTCACTGTGGTTTTAAAGCCTGTTAGGGAGCTGGTCTTATAGACCAGGCTGGCCTCATACTTACAGAGATCCACCTGCCTCTGCCTCCTAAGTGTGTGCCACCATCGCCTGGCATTTCTTTTGTTGTTGTTGATGGGTTTTTCTTTGGTTTGGTTTGGTTTGGTTTGGTGTTTTTGAAACAGTGTTTCTCTGTGTTGCCCTGACTGTCCTGGAACTTGCTCTGTAGACCAGGCTGGCCTCACACTCACAGAGATCCGCCTGCCTCTGCCTCCTGAGTACCAGAATTAAGGGTGTGTCCCACCACCACCCAGTGAAATTATTTTCGTCTTAAGCAGGAAATTTTATTTCTAAATCCACAAGTTCTTTGAGACAGTCTTTACATTTATGATTGTATATATTTAAACTAGAGCATTTGTTATTTTTTTAAAAGATTTATTTTATATGTATGGGTACTTTGCATTCATGCATATGTCAGTGTACAATGTGCATGCCTGTTGGCATGGTCCCCTGAAACAAGTTACAGTTGTGAGCACTAGGAATTGAACCTGGCTCCTTTAGAGGAGCAGCTAGTGGTCACAATTGCTGAGTCATTTCTCCAGCCCCAAACTAGAACATTGTATCCTGCTATTTCTAGTGTTTAACATTTTGAATGTTTTGCATTTTTATCATTGTAATAGGAATTATTTTTCTGGTTTCTCAAAGGAAAAATATGAAAATCATTCCTTAGTGCTTTTCCCTAGTGATTGAGTTAATGTTACATGATTTTTACACATAGTATCCATGTATAGTATCTGTCACTCAGTTTCAGTGCTCTCCAGGGACTTAGCCTAAGCACATGACAGTGTGTGTTTATGTGCAGTATGTGATGCCTAGTGATGATTGTCCCCATGCTGTGGAGAACACTGGCTTGTGTCAGTAGGCCACCCTAAGAGACTAAATCTCCCAACTTTTCCAGTTTTCTTAAAATACACATAACCAAGACCTGACAGTTGCTGAAATGGGACATTAATATACTTTACATTGAGTATGCTCAACATGGTTTGTATTTTTGAAGTTCATAAAGACAGCACTAAGTTAAAGTCACCTTGCCTCTCCTCTCCCAGAGTAAAGCCACCGTTCTCAAGCTTACTGCCGCAGCAGTCCCTGCCTAAGTGTCTTTAAATCTTCAGAACTGTCAGCACAGCGGTTCTGTGTTGCTCATTTTGATTAAAGTTCTCATGACAGAAACTCATCATTGTGCATTTCCTGTTTATATTTAAACTTTATACTTACTTAACCATCAATCCTTGTTACTCTCTCCCTTCAGTCTCTTGCAACCATTACTGTTTTCTGTTTCTGTGGATTTTTATGCTGTGTGCATAAAAATTCATCTTGTGGGCCCATACAGTACACAGCCTGTGATGTTAGCTTCAACAGTGAAACGGTGTATATTCTGTCTGTCCATCCATGTTGTCTGTCAGTTGTCCTGGCTGGGAAAAGAGGCCTGTGCTACCATGCCCAGCTACTTCTTACTTTCTTCTGTGAGCAGTGTGTGAATCAAATCCCATTGTATGGACCGCACAGCTTATAGCCACTCACCAGTTTACACACACAGTTGGATTGTTTCCTCCTTTTGCCCGTAGCAAGTAGTGCTGTTAAGAACATTTGTGTTTCCATTTTTTGTTTACTATTTTTATTTTATTTTATTTTATTTTTTTGAGACAGGGTCTTTCTGTATAGCCCTAGCTGTAGACCAGGCTGGCACAAAGATCCTCCTGCCTGAGTGGTGGGACTAAAGGAATACCCACGTCTGAACTTGTGTACCCCTTCTTGCTTCAGTATTTACAGTTCTTTCAGGTATATGTGTAGGAAGGAGTGGGTTGTTTCCCATAGCAGCTGCTCCGTACTGCAGCAGTGGTTTATAAGGGCTCCCTTTTCACATACTTACTGTAGTCACTCAAGAAGGTAGGAAGGAGCTTCATTGTGGTGGTGTTCACATTTGTCGAACGATTACTGACTCCAGCCATCTTTGCATCAGCTTTTTGGCCCTTTGTATCTCTTCTTTGGGACGATGTCATATTTATTAATGTCTTGTGGTTGTTCTGGGTTGTGTTTTCTTTTTGTTGCTGAGATGTAAGGGCTTATTATGTATTCTGGATACAAATTTGTTATCAGGTGTATGATTTGCAAATATTTTCTCCCATTTTGTAATTTGTCTTTTCATATTTTTGATGTAATTTTTTAATACAAAAAGGTTTTTATTTTAATAAAATTCAAATTTTATATTTTTCTCTCATTGAGCATGCGTTTAGTTTCTGCCAAAGAAACTATTTCTTTTAATTTTATCTGCATATATTGTTCCTTCAGCATTGAAAAGCATCCAGTAGCTCTTCTCCTATAGCTATTCTTTTCCTTACATGTGATTTTCATATTAACTTTGTGGTATGGTTTGAATATTGTCTCTAGGTTCATAATTTAGAAGACCGTTTGAAAAGATATGAAAAGCCTGTGTGCGCGACAGCCGTGGGGACACCTTACCAAGGTGAGCGGGCTGCTGCCAGGCGCCTGTGTGTGTCTCTTCTGCCAGATTTATGTGTGTGCTGATTCATATTCTTTTCTTATTTTTATTTTGAATCATTTTTTTAGTAGTTGACAAGTATAAGCTATATATACGTGCTTCAGCATGCTGCTTTTAAAATACTTGTTCATGGTGGAGTGCACAGGTTGAGCTCGTTGGCACCTGTCGCCTCCCACACATAACCTTCTGTGGTGGTTCTCTTAGTCTCTGCTCTGCTGTGCAGAGTCACCATGGCCATCATGTCTGGGAGCATGGTAGCAGGCAGACAGGCAGGCTTGGTGCTGGAGCAGTAACTGACAGCAGGCAGAGAGGTGAACACTGGGCTTGGTGTGGTTTTTGAAATTTAAATGCTCACTCCCCAGTGACACACCACCTCCAACAAGGCCACACCTCCTCCTGTTGTCACAAAACACTTCCACCAGCTAGGAACCAGACATTCAAATACATGAGTCTGTGCGGGCCATTTTCATTCAGACCAGTACATTGTGAGAACACGTTAATCTAGACCTGCTGGTTTCCCAGCACGGCAGCTGTCTTGAAGGTGTTTCTGCTATGATGCTGACATTTTGTCTCCTTTGGACAATGACACCCCCACTACACCTGATCTCCCAGCTGGTGGTAACTACCGTCTTATTCTGCTCTTTGTTTCTAGCTTGTGTAGATTTTGTTTGTATGAGTTGAGATCCTACAGTACTTGTCATTCTGTGTCTGGCTTGCTTTGTTTCATGTAGTGTCGTATAGCCTCATTTTTTACATGCATACTAAATTTGAGTGCCAAACTTTATTCTGTACGCAGTGCATATATCAGCACTTCTAAACGATGAAAAGAATCTGAGCAGTCTGGTGGACTGACTGTGCACACTGACCTACATGCTGTGGCTTTTAAGATTTGAATGATCACCCTCCTATAGGGAGAAATAAAGTGTTTCCTCTCGTACAAGCCCCTGTGTGTACTTCTGTAATCTGTAATCAGCACCTCCATGGTGCTGAACCCTCTGACACTGTGCTGCTTATTCTTCTGCCATATATTTAACATCTATGTATAAATTTCCAGCACCATTTTGTTTAGATTTTCCCAGTTGCGGATTTACGTGGTCTTTTTCTTCGTTTTGTTTAGTGTAAGTTTGAGAGTCATCTAAGTTGTATATTTTATTCCATTAGTTTGTTGCATACTTGTCCCTGTCTCCTGTAGTTTACACGTAGAAGACTTTCTATAGAATACGGAACTAAGAATAGAATTGGCACACCACGGGATGTAAAATTTTTCGGCCCACTGATGTCTACTTTCCTTAACACCACTGTGGCCTCAAGTTAGGTTGTCATTTTCTTTTTCATAAGATGTTAAATTTCCTCTTATTTTGTTTTTATTAGCATATATAAATTATACAAATTAATAAACTCAGGACATTTACATATTTGCATATAATTACATTTATCGTATCCACATCCTCTTTTACTCTTTCTAACTCTGCTTTCTGTTTTCTTCCTTCACACAGTCTTGAGCCTTCTTGAGCCCCCAAGTAGCTGGGATTTCAGGCTTGTGCCACTGAACACAGTTTACATAAAAATGTTTGAAAATCACTATAACACTATACTTTGCACACTTTCAGATTTTTTATTTATCTTGTGTTTCAAAACATTTTTTAAAATTTGATTTGAACTGAGTACTCTAATATTAGAATGCTGAAATGTCTGAGATACTACATCACTGATAAAATGATGGTGGTGTCAGTCAGCAGGTATCTGACGTCATCCACAGGCTGTTAGCAGAGACACCAATGTTAAGGGGCTTTACACTGGCCTGGTCCTGTAAGAGAAGGATATGGGAAATAAAAATCCTACAACAGTTCCTATTTTCGCTTCTACAAAATGGCTGGGATGTTCCCAGTGTGGACGTGTGGACAGCACAGCACAGCGGTGGGAAACAGCGCCTCTTTCTGTTCCCTTCCTTGTGTCCTGATGTGTCTCTTTTCTGAGTGGCAAGTTATCTGGGTTTGCTTTTCTTTCTCAACAGGTGGCAATCTACACCACACTGATGTCTCACTCTTTGGAGAACCTACTGAGTTCGAATATTTGCGAAAAGTCCTGTTTGAATATATGATGGGTCGGGAGACCAAGGTATGGATCCTGCCTCGTAACTTGGTGTCGGGCTTTTTTTAACACACACATTAGATCATTACGCTCAGACAGTGTTCACAAAAATGAACTGACTGGCAGTCCTGTGTGTTTTAAGATGTTATTTAAATTTAAAAATGATATTAGCTGTTACTGAATACTGCTACAATGAAAATCTCATAAACAATAAGGTGTTTTTAAAAAGTGAAGTATATGGCTAGTTTTTGTTTTTGTGTGTGTGTGTGAGACTGCAGATCTTAAAAGCAGGAGAAGTGATTTTATTTTAAGGAGGTTTTGTTTTTGTTTTTTCTCCCGAGACAGGGTTTCTCTGGAACTTGCTCTGTCTTGAACTCACAGAGATCTGCCTGCCTCTGCCTCCCGAGCGTTAGGATTAAAGGCATGTGCCGCCACCGCCCGGTTTTAAGGAGGTTTTTAATTCACTGTAGATAACACTGAATGACTGTGCTGTCACCATGACAGTAACTGCTAAGGAACATCCAGAGATAGTTTAGTCTGTTACAAGTTTGTTTTCTAGAATGTAGCTCCTACATCAGGCCCTTGATATAGAATCTTTACTTATTTGTGTCCTCCACAGTTTGTTTAATACTTTATAGTAGACATTTGGCAAATATATCTTGAATGGAATTGAATGTTAGGGAATTTCATGAACTTTCTATCAATAAAAGTTTTGTTGTAATCATTGTGTGTTTTTGACACTTGTAGGCTCTTCTCGGGATTTGCATTATCTGTGTCCTGACTGGGAATGGCACAGTGACCTTTTCTGTCCCTGGAAACAGTCGCTGTTTTACTGTATGGATGTGTGCTGAGTCACAGAGATGCTGGCCAGTTCAGACAGTGATCTGGAAAGTGGATATAAAGCCGAAAGGAGCAAGGCATAGATAAGGACCTTAAATCATATTCCAAATTTGTAGGGAGACACAGAGAAACACCAGGAGCCAGAGTTCATATGAATCCTTAGTATTTGTAGAAATTATGTTTTGTTTACATCAAGCAGATTTAGGGAGTATTTTTTGTTGCTTGGTTTTGGTTTTGAATTTTGAAGCATGGTCTTGCTGTGTTACCTGATTTGCCTCCCAGGAGCTGGGATTACAGGCATATACTACCATGTCTGACCATCAAATCCTTTCAAATAAAAATTAGGTTACAGTAATGTGGTCTTGAGAGGGATGTATTAGTCCCCAGTGGTCCAGTGTCCCCTTTCCTTCAGTACTTTACTAGTTTTCCCCTTGTCTTAAGGTAACACCGATGAACGACTGCTTCCCTTTACTGTGCTCTTAATGCAACTAAAGCAGCAGCCCTGGCAGCTTGGGAGGTGGCTAACATTGTGTGCATGCGCAGGAGGTGGGAGACTGAGCTTTGAGATCCTCTCAGGACGGTAGCCACTTGGACTCTACTGTTGGAGTGCAATTGGGCTGGCTAACACACCGTGGCCTTCCTGAGTCTAACACACTAGCTGCCGCTGCCTGTTGTTCCTGGGGAGTTGTAGTGCTTGTGAAATGTCGTTTCCAAGTTGAAAACTTTGGAAAAGAGACACAGCCCAAGCCAAATGTAATCCTGTGCTTTCTGAGCCGGTGGTTCCCTTCAGCTTAGAGTGTGGAAGGCGGCGAGAGCGCCGCTCCAGCCGCCTCAGAGGCACAGGTTCTTCATGACCTTTGCATTTGTTGTGATTTTCTAACTGATGATGAGCAGCCTATAATTCTTCCCTCATTTTACATGTGCGCGTTGAAGCTGGTGGTAGGTGTAGTCTACTGTTCGTTCATACATGGACGTGGAAGCTGATGCCACTCCTGACTGTAGTTGTTCTCAGTTACTACACTGTGGAGCAGAATGCAGTTAAGGGTGGTAAGAGCTTCCCTTGTGGGACTTTAAACTGGAGAGGCTTAGGTTCTGTTCAGGGCTCTCAGCACTCATTCAGGATGGGCAGCAGCTGAGAGAGAAGGCCCAAGAGAATGATGTGTGAGTTCCCTGAGTCACAGTAGTCTGGTCCAGCTGAGCACTGTGTCTGTGAAGTGCAGTTGTCTCCAGCTGCGACCAGACAGTCTTGAAGGCTAGATGATTTAAAATAGTTTCAGAATTTTATGTGTCTATATCACAGAGAAGATGACCCTGAATGCTACCAACAAGAATGAAGCTGGTTTTTGACACAAGTTTTGCTGATTTGCTTGGTTTCTCTATATATTAACAAGGAATTCATAGTGGAGAGCAGGTTGTATTTTAGGACGAGCCAGCCTGTGGAGGACCTGGTGGTGTGTCGTCTGCACCTAGCAGTCTCCGTGTGTCATTCCACCTGTTTTTCTTCACCTGCTTTGGCTACAGCATTCTTCGTGAGGCAGGTGCTTAAAGAACACTCATGTAGTACACATAGGCTTGTAGCATGGAGCCCCCCAGCCTGCTTTTCCCGCTGGGTTTTGGTCCTCCACTCTGCTGTTGACACTACATCCAGTCCACCTTCCGTTTTGTTCCGTAAGCTTAATTGAAGAGGCGTTCCCCGAGGAAGCAGTGGCTGAAGAGCTTGCCTGTGAGTCAGCTGGCCCATTTGATTGCCTCCATACTCCTCAGGGTCTGAGGATGTGCTTTGGAGGGCAGACAGTCTGATTTCTCTGCAGGGATAGCGAGAGTCCTGGCTGCTCCATGAAAGCTTTTTTGGCGAGCTGGAGGCTTTACTGTTTGTCAGCTGTAGATTCTGGGTCACTGGTGAATTCTAGACGTGTGAAGAGGCAACTAGTCACAGGTCCTGGTTGTATCATTATAAACGTGTTTGGACGTACGTGTGTGTGGGTTCAGAGTGAGTTGGACTTGTTAGTTTGTATGATACTGAAATTAAGGAAATGGTCCATATAACTGAATTTTAGACTTTTGGTACCTGGGGGGAAAGTTTTTATAAATGGGACACAGGAAGTTGCCTCTCTGTTAACAAAAAGAAAACCCTGAAATAGTTCTTATTTCCTTTAGCCAGTTCATGATGTATATGCTTGACCTCCTTACTCAAGTTTTGCACACTAGTTTGTGTTCTGTGTAGTTGATATGAAATCCTTCAAGAGCCTGATTGTTTTAAATGGCATTTTTAGTTTTGCTTTTTTAAAGCTATTAAAGTGGCAGAGGCAAAGGCAAGAAAGATACTTGAAACTAAAGTCATTGTGTGTGGGGTCTGCAGTCTAGTAAGTTATTAGGAATGTCTTGCCTTGGCTCTACAGGTAATAGTTTTAAAACATTAGTTTCTTTCCTTTCTGGTAGTAATTTAATTTTCCTAGTGATATGAATGAAGTTTCAAAACTTTGGGTTGATAATGTGCTGATTTTTTCCCTACAACTTTTCCCAGAAACTCACACAGGCTGCCAGCACACACACAGGCCTATACACAGAGCACAGGTAGCCATGAGCACTGGTCCTCTTGTCTGGGATGCTCTACTATGCACTGTAGGAATCCCCAGGGGAGTGTACCACCTGACTTGATGTAAGCACTGAACTCCTTATCCTTCTTACTTCCTAAGTGACATCTTCTTCCCTCTCTGTCTCCCTCACAACATCTCAGCTTGGTACACAATAGGGAGTTTCAACCTTTGAGGAGATTTCCAGGAGCTTATGAGTGACAGTCTGACTCACGGTATATTTATTCTGATCTGCACAGTTTATGATCTTGTTTTGCAAACCTCCATGTGTAATGTTTTGATTCATCTTGTGTTCTACCAAACAAAACATTGTGTTCCTTTTATATGTAATTTCTACTAGGCCAATGTGCTGCATGTCCTGAAAAGTAACTACTAAGCATGTTCATGTCCATGCAGTAGCCCATGTTTATGAGATATATGATGTGATTTAGTTAGAGCCGAACCCTGGGGGCTTCTAATCCTTGTTATTTAGAGCATATATTTTACAATGCATCACTGTAGGTTACTGCAAATATGAGGCTTTTCGGATGAATCCATGATGATGTTTCATCTTAAGCCAAAAGATCAAGAGCTAGATCTTTATGTAGCTTCATGCTATTGGAGATGCATCGTCTAAAGTAATTCAAACGCGGACCTTGTAAGGAACCTTCTTGAATTGAAATGCTAGTGCTTCCTTGACTGATAATCTTCACATCATACTTCTTTGTTCGTGACTTCCATTGAGAGCACTAAAGAACCCCTCAGCAGAACATGTCAGACAGTGTGAGAATGCATTACTTCGTGTCTGCTAATGATCTCTTTCCTGTCGCTTCTAGACCATGGCGAAAGTTATAACCACTGTCTTGAAATTCCCTGATGATCAGGCTCAGAAAATTTTGGAAAGAGAAGATACCCGGCTGATGGTAAGTTCCAGAAGAAAGATGTAGAGAGGCAGCTTTCTTACAGTTTTTACTCTATCTCATTTATAAAAAGAAATTGAAATTTTTTCAATGTCTTTTGTACTACAACTTAAAAAGTGGTGGTTGATCAACATTAAGAAAGTTTAAGCTGGATGTGGTGGGGTCTCTGAAGGGAGAGAGTGGTCTTTCTCAGGAGCACAGACATTGGTGCCAGGTGTGTAGTGTGCAGTTCCCAGAGCTTGAGCTGTTGATGGAGGATGGAGGAGAGTTTGTCCTTCTGCTGCATAGAGCGTAGCTTCTCAACAGCACCATGTCCTTTCTTCTATTGTAAAGTATTTTCATGGGCATTCATTTGAAAGACTTTAATCATCTTTGGGGCCAATAAGATGACTCAGCAGACAAAGGCAGGTAGTGAGCAATGCCAAACAACACAACTCAAGGCAGACCAAAAAAATATTTAAGCATATCTAAAAGGAAAACATTAGATCGTTTATCCTTGAGTAAAGCGGTTTTCATTCTAGAAAGGGATGGACTGGGGCTGGTTCTTGAGTTAATCTTCCCTTGCTCCTGAGGCTGACCTGCCCAGGCTTTAAACAAAGCCTCATGTCTCTTGACACTTTACTTGCTGAATAAATTCAGTCTTCAGCCACTTACTACTCCAGCTGTTACAGAGAATATAGGAAAGTGAAAACTTTGAAGAACACAGAATGGTTACTTTTGTCCAATCATATGTAATGAGAATTGGCCTTATAGATCATTCGAGTGATAAAAATAAGTAGAAATACGAAGTAATTTATGGGCATGAAGTGGGAGAGATCCTAAAATATAAACTGAAGATTAATCAAATTGATTGACCTTTTTTGGGGGAGTTCAGCCTGAAGGGGTTGTTGGTGTTTGTAGAGTGATTCACGGTCATTTCCTCTATCTCTAAGAGAGCTTCATTAATAAAATATAGTGTAGTTGGCTGAAATTGGAACCAGGAGATTCTGTTGTTATAAAGAAGTCTCTTTTTGAGTTTTCAAAAGAACAGTTTTCTCAGTGAAGTGCTCCAGACCCCGAAGACATAAATCTACGTGTCAGTTTCCCTAATGGCTGCGCTGCCAGGATATTTCCTTTCCTTGGTCTCTGAGGGTTTGTCTTCTTCCTCACTCACTCGCTTGTGCTTGGCTCTCACATTCATCCTCCATGTTGCCTGCTTACTCTGCTTTCTGGTTTTAGAGCCTCATGCATGCTGGAGCCCTGCACCAGTGAGCCACATCCACAGCCTTATGTGTAGTTCTGAATTTAGTTCTCGATCATTCTTGTACTGTTGATCTCTCCCGTTTCCATTTGAGTCAATTTTTTAAGTCTCTTAAGTTAATAAATCATCCTTATAACGTTTTAGGTGGCATCTCCCATACATGCCCGGAGTTTGAAAATAAATTCAAATAAAAATGGCACATAAGGAAAAATAATGTAAATGTGAGTTTGACTGAGAAAGTCGTTTTGACTGACGCTGTTAGAATAAGACTCTGTCAGATCACTTTTTAAAATGTAAACAATTCAGAAAAATTACTTGAAAAATCTTTTATAATCTTAAACATCCAGAATGTTTGCCCCATGCCAAGATCATGTCTATTAATAGTGTGGCAAACCCGGGAACATGCCAAGAATCCCAGCACTTAGGAGGTGAAGCAGAAGAATCTCAAGTTCAAAGCCATCGTGGGCCACAAAGTGGGAGACTCTCTCAAAATAAAACATTAAATAGCTCCACTAGATTTTTCTTTGTTTGATTTACTAAGCGGTTTTCAGTTCTTACAAGCCTAGACAGGATATCCACAAACTTTATCTTGCGTGCTTCTGCAGATTTTCCTACAGAATACTAACATACTATGTTGTGTGTACTGAAAAACATTTTTCTATTTCATTGTGCTATTTTTTTTACTAACTTCATATTAAATATGTATGTTCTTCAGAAGCTTGTCACTCCATCCAAAAATAGACTCAGGTTTGGCAAACAGACTTTGTTGTCATACTGCCTTCTCAAAGCAGACCTTAAAGCTAGTTAATGATGATGTCACCTGACATTAGGGCGTGGAACTTATTTAAAAGGTTTGCTGCAGTAAAAATGAGCCGAGATCAAGTTCTTTTACCTTGAAGTTGCAACATGGTGTTTCATTCCTGCAAACACTCTTTTTTTTTCTTTTTTTTTGGTTTTTCGAGACAGGGTTTCTCTGTAGCTTTTGGAACCTGTTCTGGAACTAACTCTTGTAGTCCAGGCTGGCCTCGAACTCACAGAGATCGACCTGCTTCTGCCTCCTGAGTGCTGGGATTAAAGGCCTGTATCACCACTGCCCAGCCCTGCAAACACTCTTGATACTCTGTTGAATTATAAGGGAATTACTCAGTGATAAAGTTGATACTTTTTAGGAATGAGAGTTCAATATACAGTTGTACTGTGTTTCAAATTAATCAACTTCCAAAAGTTTGTGGGTATAAACTAAAATTAGGTAAATCAAATTTTAATTTATACTATAAAGGACTTAGGAAAAAATTGCTTAATAGTATAACCTCCTCTAATTTACCTGGCAGTTAAAGGCACTCTTAGCATGAAGTACATCTTTCAGCATTTAAACTTTTAAATGAAAATTGAAAGTAAAAATCTAGGATGGGGGAAGTATTACATAGTCCTTATGCTTGCCTGGTGACCCTCAATTTGAAAACAATTAAGTACTATCTGTAATTCTCCACTTCATATTCACAATATAACCTGTGCACTGTTGTCTGAAAACTAACCCAACAAGCTTTTCCTCTTGGCTTTGTAGTTTCCTTCACCTCGCAGTGGCATCTTCTGATACCTGAGTCTGTGCTTAGTAAGCGTGTGGTGAGTGGAGAGTCATATGTCTTGTAACTTTGGTACTGAAATCACAGATATTGCATGCGATTAACCATTTCACTGGGATTATTTTATTCTTTTTAATGAGCATGATTATGACATTGGGTTAATGTAATTGCTTTCTGTTGTTTATGTTCAGTGGACTGTTATATAGACTAAAAACCAACAAAAATGGCATTTGAAGTTACTACAGATTATGATAGAGAAATGAAAAATAATTTTTCAATGTGAAGTGATGAAATACAGTATGTACTGTGTTTCAGACTCAAATGAAGAGATGTATTTCACACACCCGGACCCTAAATTGCTACAAAGCTTAATTAGAATGCTAGTTTAGACACAATGAAAACTAATAAAGCTGATTAAAATAAAGAGTTTCGTTGCATCCTAGGTTTGCACAGCTCGGTTCAAGATAGCACATGGGTTCTGTAGATGCTCCTGGGCAGCTGCTTTAATTGAATACGGCTGCTTCTGGTGAACATTTTATTACAACGAAATGTAATTTTCTAAATGTTTCCCATGATTTACTGTCTTTAAGGATTCTGAGTTTCACACAGTATTCATGTCTTTAGCTTGATTTAATATTGCCACAAACATTTAGGGTCCACACAGACCTCAAACTTGGCTGCAATTTTCACGGATAAATTGAATCACAGTCGCTAAAACCTGATTATACTTCATGATGATGGTTTGTTCCAGCCATGAACAAATGTAGCAGGATCTTTTAAAGAATGTTTTAATTTAAAAATGTTCATTTTTAAAAGATTTATTTACTTTTATTTTATGTGTCTGTGTGTTTGTCTATGTGCATGTGCACCACAGAGGCCAGAAGAGGGCATTGGATCCCCTGGAACTGGAGATACGAGGTGGTTTAGCCATCTTGTGGGTGTTGGGACCTGAACAGGAGTAGCCAGTGCTCTTACTCTGTGGAGAATGTCTCCAGCCCCTCTGTTTTTTAAGGTTTTTTTTTTTTGCAAACTGCCTGCATCAAGTCTCCTTTTGATCGTCCTATCATGTCATCTAACTTGCTTGCATGATTACCTAGAGCCGTCTTATTCCTGCCTCCATTACAGTGGTCAGCAGTACAGAGGATGGTTATTAGGAGGTTGTAATAAGCCTAGGTACAGCTTATGGAACACCTTCAGAGTCAGACAGAAATATGGCAGGGGACAGAAGCACTTCTCCCTTCTATTTAGAACAGCAGGTCTTGTCCTTCCCACAGTCTCCCTGCCTCCTCGTAAGTGATGCTGCAGAAACAAGGTTTTAATGCTTCTGGGACTGGCATAGGCAAGAATGGGAGTAGATTATCCTGCTTGTCTCCTGGGAGTAGGGACGTCAGACGTTGACCAGCAATGACCTCTGACTTTATCTATCTATCTGTCTGTCCGTCCGTCCGTCCGTCCGTCCATCCATCCATCCATTCATCCATCTATCTATCTATGAAAGGGTTTTTCTTTGTAGCCCAGGCTGGGATTTTCCTGCCCCAACCTCCCTAATGACTGGATTGCAGGCATATGCCACAGGGCCTGGCTAGAATGACCTTCATTTTGCCGAGTGGCCTTTATTCTGATGTCAGAGATTAGGGCTAAATAGAGTGGATCTAGCCATACAATTTTTGGGAGACAGTTTTCTAAGTGAGTCTTCTGAAACCTTTTAAGTGGAAGTGTCAGTGAGTTCCTGTAGGGACACAGATGGCTCCAGCATTAACTAGACACTGATGAAAGAACACAGGAGACAGGATTGCAGATAACCTCACGGACATTTGAATGTAACTTTTTTACTTCAGATATTAAAAATATGCTGGTAACTTTAGTAAAAAAAATAATAATAATGAACAGCAAGTTGATGAGCCTTGAGTGGCTGTGAGTCGGATGTCTCCCTAGCTAGTCGCTGTGTCAGCTACACAGGGCTGCAGACAGCTGTTCTCACACTGGAAACACCTGCCTCAGCATTTCTGTTCAGTGACTGCTTGTCCATTCAGCATTCAGGGTGAAACATTTCAGACCCAAGCTTTGCAAAACCGAGTGAATGCCCACGTCTGCTGTCACTCTCCAGGTTCTAACGTTCTGTGAGACTCTCCCAGTTCTCACTCTCGCTTTCTCTCCATCTATTTCTGCCTTTTGTCACGTTTGGTCGTGACCTGTAGACATCATGCTTGCAAGCATTTCACAGTGCAGGTACAAGCGAATAAATTGTTTTTAAGAAGAAAATTAACCTACCAGTATGATTATCACGCTTAGTAAATGAAATACCAAGATATTACTAATGTTATCTAATATTATATATAATATTCAATTTTTCCATTTTTTGAATGAGATCCTTCATAAATGTTTAAGCCCCAGGATCCACAAAGTGCATACATTGCAAACTGTGTTTTCTGAGGTCTCCTTTAAACTAGAGGACTTGGCCTTTTTGCTTTCATAACATCAAGGTTGTGCCACTTTATTGAATGAGTTTTGTTTCCTAGAAGTGTTTGAACCAAGGTTTCAGAGTACAAACTGAAAAGGAGAACCCTCAGCAGGGGTCTCACAGCTCTCTTCCAGGTTCTCGGGGGCCAGCGTGATGGTGGAGCTAGCTTTATAAAAAAAAACACTGTTTGTTTTTACTACTTGACCTTACTTGGAAATTTATTTCTCTAACATTCTAAATAACATTCTCAATCTGAGCACTAGCATGTAGCATTTTAATCTAGGAAACCCTTAGGGAGATCCTGGGGTTGTGTCTCATTTTAATGAATTTAGGATGAAGCTTAGCCTTTTACACCACAATGCCAATGCCATTTGTCTTTTTTCTGCCATGCATATCATGCTGAGAGAATTGCAGGACTGAGGAAATCTACACCCTGGGAAAGTGGAACCACCTACTTCCCTGAAGTGCAGTTTGAAGAGCTGTGGTGGAGGAGAGCTCTCCACATAGTGTGGGTCGGGCTTAGGAATGGCTTTCCTCAGGGTTCAGTCAAGCAGCCCTGGATTCATGATCCGGGTCTCAGCCTCAAAATCCACACCTAAGTACTGCTCTCTGGGACTGCTCAATCAGCTTAAATTACTCTAAAAGTAGGTTCTAGAAGATTCCATTCGGAGTCAATATTTGAAATGTTTTTACTTTTTTATGTGATCCTTAGAGTGTAAGTTATTTTACCTGAAAAAAAAAAAACAATTCTCACATAAAGTTGGCTATAAAAGCTTGTTTGTTTGTTTTTCCACCCTAATTTCCTTTTTGTTTTTCAGTCATGGCTCCGAACTTCATCTTGAAGAAATGGGGAGAATGAGGTTGGGCAGCCGCTGCTTGGCAAACTGCCCATGCTTGCTGTCTTTCCGGCCCCTGTGTCATGCAGACAGGTCTTACCTGGTCCGCAGGCACTGCTTGTAAAGCGGGTGTTCTGGGTGGAGAAAGGGGGATGGTTTTGTTCTTTTCCTTCAGTTTGTCCTTGGGAAGTTTTCTGTGGTTGTGGCTGTTCTGACTGGCTTGCCCCGTCACTCAGTGTCCCTGTCATCTTTTCTTTCCCCCTTTAAAGAACTGCCTGTCTTCCTTATTTATTTTAGGGTGATTTCTTTTTCTTCTTCAAGACTTGTGCAATATATTTTGAGGTGAAACTTAGTGGATTTTTTTCTGATAAATTAGAGAAAATTCTCTATTTCCCAGATTGATTTTTTGACTATTTGCTAAAGCCTAATTCTTTAAGCTATAAGTCCCAAATGGCAGCACCTCATGTTTACCTAGCTTTTATACTTATATTATTTTTCAGAGGAAAAAATACTACTGTAAATTGTAAATAGTGAATACATAATCCTATTGTATGCACATCAGTGACTGTTGGCCATGTCATCTCAGAAGATCAGATAAATAAAGTTTATTTCCTTTATAATATTTCTCATTGTGCTTCTTCTTACATTGAAATCACTTCCAGCTGATTAAGCATCCATATTTCAGTGAAGTGAATGTAGAGAGGTTGCGGGGAGAGCTAAAAGGGGACACTAGGAAAGATTTGTGTGTGTTCGGCTTCATATGAGCAATGGGAAGGACGTGGACCCCTCCTCTGTTGTTCCAAGAGGGCTTCTGTAGGCTCTGGAGGTCACTGGTTCTCTTAGGCCTAATGAGAGAGAAGCTCCCAGACACCAGGCCGTGGGAACTGCTAAGAAGGGTTCACACACCCTTCATGTTCCGGGGACAGCGGTACTCGAACCTGTAGATCTGTAGAACTTCTGCCTGAGATTGAACTTCAGTTGTCCAGCCAGTTGGCTAGCTTTGCTGGGGTTTCTGACAGTAAAATGACTTATCTTTTCTTATTTTGTTGTTTTGGTTTTTTGAGACAGGGTTTTTCTGTAGCTTTGGAGCCTGTCCTGGAACTAGCTCTTGTAGTCCAGGCTGGCCTCGAACTCACAGAGATCCACCTACTTCTGCCTCCTGAGTGCTGAGGTTATGACTTACCTTTTTATGCCTCTTCTGGGTCATAAGTGGTGGTCTCTTCTGTGCCGTCAGTGCAGCTTCTGTAATTTCCCTTTTACCCATCTGTGAAGGCGCCCAAATATATAAGAGCAGGGGTCAGTGTTGATCCTGGAGTTCACCAGAAAAATCCGTTCCATCATTTTGGCCGAGTTTAAGCAAGCTTTTATTAAAATATTAAATACTGACCAAGATGGAATTTTTCTGATAAATTAGAGAAAATTCTCTATTTCCCAGATTGATGGAATTTGTTCAGGGCCACCACCTCAAAACTTTCCAGCTGTAGCCTCGAACATGTGCTGCCAGGGCGTCCATGGGCAAAGCCTATAGGCTCCTGTAATTTTCCATGAGGCTTTGCTATTTTCTAAGAACTCCAGCTCCTAGAATCCCAGAAAGTTATATCATCTTTGGGCAGTGGGGCTTACAAGGTTACCTTCAGGTCTAACATCAGTTGGCCAAAATTTTCTGGGATAGAGCCAAACAATGAGCATATTGGCCATGTGCTTTTTTGTGTTGCAACTTCATAACTCTTTTGTTGAGTCAGAAGCAGCCATAGACAAGTTTTAAATCAGCATTTCAATAAAACTTCATTTTTATTAAATAGCGAAGGTTCATGCATATATGTTTGGCTGTTTCACTTCCCCATTCCCTTTCCCTCCCGACATCATGTGCTCTCGCTCTCTTTAAAATTATTAAACTTAATACCCACTGAGTCCATTAGTGCTGCCTGCATGTGCATGGGTACGGTACCCTCTTCTGGACCATGGGTAGCCTCAGGACCCACATCCCTGAAGAAAACCACCTCCCTTTCCCAGCCCTCAACTGCCAGTTAGAGGTGGAACTTCATGACCCCCTCCCAGTCCATGCTGGGATCTGTGTTTACCTAAATTGTTCTGTTATCAGAGAAACTCAGCTGACCCTTTCTCCATGCCTCCCAGGTCAAAAAACCCTCCCTACTCTTTCCTGTGCCTCTCTGTCATATTGTATCCTGAGTCCTCCAAAATCTCTATGTCTATTTCCTGTCAGCTAGTTGTTGACTGGGTCCCTGATTCCAGGTTAGCTCTATTAACAGTCTGAGAGTCACAGTGTGGTCAAATAACCCCTGACGGTCTTGGTCTTGTGCAAGTCTTGTGCTGTCATGTCCGGCAAATACTGTTTAAAATGCTATTTTCAAGGTAGGTATCTGGAAGTGGGAAGATAGCTCAGATAGATAGTTAGGAGTATTTTCTACTCTTCTCAGAGGACATGGGTTCAGTTCCCAACACCTGCTTAGTGGCTCATGACCATCCGAAACTAGTTCCAGGGGATCTGATACCCTCTTCTGACCTCCATGGGTGTCAGGTATATGTGTGGTGTGCACATACATACATGCAGACAAAACATTCATACACAAAAAATAAATCCTAAAAAAAAAATCTTTTAAGCGGGATTTGGTTGTGGGGTAGTTCCCCAGCTCCCAGGAAAGCAGTCAGCAGGACTTGAAGCCTGGAGGCAGAAGCATAATAGCATTTGATCTGTAGAGGGTGCTCCCTCCCAGGAGTGGGCCTTAGCTTGCTCATCCAAGCAGGAAGCAAGCATTCAGCTGTGCTTGGGCTTAGCACCTTGGGCCCAGATGAGAACTTTCAGCAAGTGTTTCTGATTTGAAATTGGGGATGCCAGACTTTTCTCAGTGGTAGTTACAGGACGTGATGGCATCACAGGTGGTAGAGACTGGGTACTTTGTCTTCCATTCTCTGATACTCGAGAAACAAGTTTGTAATGGCTGCAGGTCAGCTCCAAATCACAGAGAAAACCTGTCACCTCAGCGTTCATTCCTGACCCTGCTTAAGCCCGGCTGTCTCCAAGACATTGTGATTGTGGTGTGCAGAACAACAGTCTGATGCCAAGAAATTAGCAGTTAATGTTGGAAGGTTTTAGAAACCATTCAGTTGACACTTTGGCAGAACTTTTACTTGCAAATCGTGGCAGTTTGTGGTTACTTTGTTTACACTGCATGTGAATCTTGGTTGCTGTTAGAAATTGTTGAATTCAGCATTTCTAAATTGAAGGATGGAAACATTTTTATTTTATGGCATATATATGTTAGTCTTTTAAAAACAGTTTTTAATATTTTATGTGTGTACATGCTTCATGATAATGAAGTAGGGTGCTTGTTTTGGCTTGAAAATGGATGCTAAAAACAAATCCCACACTAGCTCAGAATTGAGTATAATAGTGGGTTATTTATTTAGGGATAGACTCACAGATCACAGTCCTACATGAACAGGGAACAGGAACCAAATCCAACAGCCAGAAGAGAGAGGGAATGCACGCTTTACATTGTCATTTATAATAGAAGAGCCACACCCAAGTGGGAGGGTAGCTTAAAGGCTATTGGCTGTAGGATTTTCTACAGCACCTCCCCTTTTTGTTTAAATGAGAGCGTTCTAAGCTTAATACAAAATTATATACAATAAGAACAAATAACAGGTATAAAAATTAGAATTACAACCAGCATAAAAAATATTAAGCAAGAAATGTGATAAATATTTCAATAATTATTCTATCCTAAGGAGTTTAAGTCTTGTATTATAAATAACTTGGCCAAGTCATGAGAGGAAAGTAACTATGACTATCTAGTCTTCAACCCCATCGAAGACCTAAGAAGGGAAATAATATTACTTGAGTAAGCAGGAAGTGCAATCAAGCAACTTCAAAAATGTGCAACAAATGACAGAGACAACTGTTTCATTGTACATGGGCATTTTCAAAGATTAACAAAACAAGCAGCCTGAAGTGCAGAATCTCATCTTTTCGCAGTTAGTTGATGGACTGGAGAGCTAGCTCAGTGATTAAGAACAGTTACTGCTTTTGGAGAGGACTGGAGTTTGATTCCCAACACCCACACAAGGCAGCTTACAGCTGCCTCTAATTCCAGCTCTGGGGATCCAACACCCCCTTGTTGGTACCACACACAAGTAAGTCCATATGTGCACACACAGACACATAAAGAAATTCTTTCAAAAAGGGTTTGAGGTTGTTCACCTTGCTGTAGCAGGAAAGTGTAAGGAGCCACCTGAAGAAATCGCCATTACGAGATGGCGCAGGTGATCCTACAGCTTGGAGGTAAACAAGTCCATATTTGGCATAGCCACATGGGGTTGAGTGCCCTTGCCTGCACATGCGCAACTGAGCCTTGGTTCCCTAGCCTATCCCGAACCCCTGGGCACCAGCAGAATGGTATTCACCAATCAGGACAGTTTCCGAGTCCCTCCACACTTTAAAAGCAACTGCCTCTGGGCCTTTCACTCTCTCTCGCTTTTTCCCTTTCTCGTCCCCCATTCCCCCTTCAACCGAGTGCTCCAATAAAGTTGTGATTTGGGAAGGATTCTCGATTTCGTGGTCGTCCCCGCTTGCTGGTCAAGGGGTGCGTCTCACAGGAAAGCATCTGTTGATCTCTACCAGATGGAGCTGCTCTTGCCTTTAAAGAAGGAATGTGCAGTGCGTTCCCTCTCTGTCCCCATTCTCCCACCTCTGTGTCAGCAGTGGGCAAGGCAGCATAAGTCTCTGATTTGGATTGCGAGTTTTAAAATTGTGGTTATTATATCTTTTATGTTCAGAATTCTGACTTGGTCCTTTACATCTTCTCCTGCTTTGCAGAGATAATACTTTTGCTCCAGGCCTGTCTGGAGCTGCTCACTGAAGCATCTGTGAATATCTGTCAGATCCCTCTAACATCTGCCGTGTGTGTTTCATTAGTCCCAGGTACATAGATTTTAGGGTACTGGATCTTACCCTGTGTTCACTGCCTCTTTTGATGCTGCTTTGGCAGAGAAGGGGCTGGATGAGGGTTCATTGTAAACGGAGACTCCATGCACATTTCCCTGCTGCTCAGACTCAATAATCACACAGAAACTATATTAATTACAACACTGTTTGGCCAGTGACTCAGGCATATTCCTAGCTAGCTCTTACATCTTAAATTAACCCATTTCTATTAATCTATGTATCACCACGAGGCTGTGACCTACCAGTAAGGTTCTGACATCTTTCTCCTTTGGCAGCTACATGGTATCTACCTGACTCCACCTTTCCTCCTCTATCTCTGATGGATTTCCTCCCTTTCTGTATTCTGTCCTGCCATCGGCCAAAGCAGCTTCTTTATTAACCAACGGTAATAAAGTATATTCACAGCACATAGAGGGGAATCCTGACCGTCAGATGTGAGTGGGAGCTCAGGCTCTCCACTCAGCCTCTGTTGGTGCCCAGGACAGGGGAGGCTGGGTGTAGAACTGGGTTCTTTAAGGCTGTCACGGAACTGGCTGGAAGGAATAGGGGTGCCTTTTTACTGCTCCTCAAATAGTTTACAGCGATCCATATGAAGGTGGTTTTTAACCTCTGGGTAGTGACAATAGACTTCAGTCAGTATACTTCATCTTATACCA